GCACATGCATGAGGAAAAGCACAGATCGCCCACTTCTGCAGGAGATGGTCTTGCCTACCTGTGTCCCTAGTCTCTAGTTTATAAAATAAACCACATTTTTCCCATCTTGAAATGGCCACTCCTGGTGATTAGAAAATCCAGGAAGGAAATCGGCAGAGGGAGCCCTTTGGACAGCACCAGCAGTTTATGCCTTTGCTGCCACGGCCCCAGCGATGCTCACACCCGGCACATCCCTGAGTAGGGAAATGCACTGAACATCACTCTTGGGAATACTAAAAAAAACCCGAGGGAAGCTGAAGCTGTGCTTCCTCGCCTGGATTTTGCAAGGCACTGCCCAGGCGACTGTCACCTGCAGTCAGCAGCATGTCCCGTGTCCCAGAGCAGCCCAGCCCTCGGGTGCTTGATCGGCTCCATGGAGAGCAGCCACGTCCCCAGGCTCAGAGCCCAAGCCAGCACACCCACCCATAACTCACTCCCCCAGCTGCAGATGAAGCCTCAACCACACCAACAAGAGCATTTTCATCACTAGACCAAAGAAAACAAGCCCCAGAAGCTCTGTCCCACCCAGCCTGCCTGCTTTCTCGCCTTAAACCCACGTGTTAAACCCAGGAGCCAACAGAGGGTTCGCAGGAATTAATGGCAAAAGTCCTCCAGAGGTGGCAGACAAGTAAGAGCTGCCTGTGGGAAAGGCGTGTGAAATCCTACTGCTGTTAAAGAGTTTAGAGAAATAACATGACACGTTTTAGTGCCTTAGATACTGACTGTTTATTTTCAGATGTGCAAAACACTCCTACTGCTCAGGATATGTGGCGTGTCTGCAGCAGAAGAGAACAAAGTAACATTAATAATTTCTCCAATACAATTAATTAGACTCTTTCCCAAGGATAAAGCTTAATCTAATTTCTGCTGTTATACTTTGTCTTCATAAAAGTCTGAAGAAATGAATAAGCTTTATACCACCCTCGCATGACAAAAACCTTGGGCTCTCCTGGAAAAAATGAGGGAGTAAGCAAAACTGCCAGCACTTGTGATTTTTATATCAGACCTACAGAGTTCCCTTTTATTCTTGTAGTCCCTCCCTCTTATCCCAGTTTTGGCTTTTGTTCTGTTTTTAACAAGCAGGTTTTGAGCCTTGGTCCTTTTGCAGAGCAAAGTTTCTAATATGAACTGCAGAGACTCAAAACCCCAGCAGCAAACAAACAGAGATTTTTTTTTTTAAGGTCACCTCATGATCTTTGACCAGCTGATGTTGGCAGTACTGAGCACGCTGCAGAAATGAGGGCCTTCCACGGAAAGGACTCCGACAGCCATCCACAGGTCCCGAGGCCATTACAAAAATGAGAAAGAGAAAACATTTATTAGGTCTAGATATAAAATGTAATCCAGATTTATAGCTGATTTATCTAGCTCTCTAAAAGAGTTTGGCTCTGGCGTTTGGCCCATCTGTGAACAGGTCAGGCTCTGTCCTTCCTGGGCTGCTTTAAGCAAAGAGCACTTGCTGCTTTTCTCATAAAACAAAGTAACTTCATTTACTACGTGCTTTACACGTGGCTGTGTTCAAACATCACCAGGACTTGTTTCAGTGCAGTACAAATGTCTGTAAATTCTCCTTAGCCACCAGAGATGAAGATCCCAACAGGGTGCTTACCTCCTGTGTGTTGACACGTTGCTGCTTTAACTCAGAGCAAAAGCTACAAGTCAGGTTCTCAGAGCAACACCCCCCCCCAGCAAGTTGTTTACCTCGCAAAAAGTTTCTCCTCACCTTTGGGAACACAAAATACTTACCTATTTGCAGCACACCCAGATACCTGCAGCGTGCCTGCTCTCCACCCATTTTCCTTATCTGCTCCTCCGTCTCAATGAAAACACTGACCTAGAGTTTTCTGCCCTTAAAAGCTTCATGTCACACCGACGTGCAATGATGCTGAGCCTGTGTAAACACCTGACGCGGCAGGGATAACCTTCAGGACAACTCAACCCCTAAAATGAGACAGAAAAAAAACCCCAAACCCCAAACGGTCAACCTTCCTTTCTGCCTGCGCTGCTGATGAAGAGGGTTTCTGTGTTTTCACTGGGCTGGCAGAGGAAGGAAGCTGTCACAGGACCTGGCTGAGTCACCAGCGTCTGACCTGGCGCGTCCAGACGATCCTGCATCTCTCCAGAAGCCTCTGGAAGGAGCGTGTGGCACCGGGTCCAGCCTGGTGAGAACCTGCCCGCTGCGGCTCTGTGCCATCCCTCCATCACCACAGACCATCCTGCCAGAGCCGGGCACGGGGGGCAAACCTTCCCCCCCTTTGCTGGGAGTCTGGGGCAGTGGAGGGGGCCTCAGGCTGGAGGGATGATTTGGGGAAGAATTCCCTCTGGAAAATCATTATCAGCCTCTGTTGTGGTTTGCAAGCAGGGAAAAGCCTGAGACACCCTCCTCCCCTTCATCCCACCAGGACTTCACTGTGAACATGAAAAGTTTGGACATAAAGAGTATTTCTGGTGATAGTGCCCTCAGAGCAAGAATCTCACTAAATATTTTTAAACACTTCCCAGCAGAAAGTGGGTGTAGAGAGAAAGCAGAGTGCTGCAGAGATGTTAATTGCTCCTTTTTGAGCTTTTCCTCTGTAACTTTGAAATTTTAAACTCGAATTTTTTTTTTTTTTTTTTTTTTTCCCCCATCCCCTTTGCTACATCCATCTGCGGAGCTGGCTGTTCAGCAGTTAGGGCTGACAAACCACTTCTTGGTCAGGGGTTTCTGCGATGCTGTGGGATTCCTGAACAACTGTAAGAAAACATCCGCACAGCCAATGCTGCATGCTGAGAACGCCAAAACCCAGATCCTCCAGCAAACAGAGGGAAAAAACCATCTGAAGTTAATATATGTGGGAATACAGCACAGCTTCTCACACGGCCTCTCCAGGGGGCTGAGAAACCGCCCAGAGGCACAACCCAGGGCTGGGGGCAATAGGCAATGCTGTGAGAGCGAGGTCCAAGGTCTGGGCTGGAGAAGGGCTCGCTGGAAGGAAATCCCCGACCTCGAGGAGGAGGAGGAGGAGGAGGAGGAGGAGGAGGCGGGAACATCTCACTGAGTCACCCTGTCCCGTGATCGGTGAGCTAAGCTAAGAGCAGGCTGGTGAAAGCCTTGTTTTCCTTATGTTTTGTAAAAGTGCATGATGTCAGGACCAGAAATCCGCGCGTGACTCAGCATGCCCCACCAGGAGAAGGGAAATTCCCTCTGGCTTTTAGCCCCTTCCATATTTGCCAATTGGATTAAAGTTCGCACAGAGGAAGACTTAGATTTCTGGTTTTAATTTGGTGCATCACCTGATAATTATAAATGCATTAATTAATCTGGAGACACAAATGGCTTGAAAAGAGACGGCAACTTGAGAACAACCCCCTGTGCCTCAAACACCCAGGCAGTGATGGAGAGGGGAATAAAGGAATCGGTCCTGCTTGGGATGGCAGCAACTCGCTGCCGAAGGAATGAATGTGCTGGGGTTGGTTCCTCAAAATACAAGTCTTTGGCTCTGTAAATGAGATCAGAAGTGGCCATTGGGCTCCTCAGAAATAGGTCATAGGTTGGGCATGCTGGAGGTGATGCTTGGCAGGGCAGGTACAACACTGGCAGAGCGTCCTGTACTGCACACCCTGCTACTGCTGGTCCCAATTCTGATCTTATGGAAAAAAAAAAAAAAGAATTCAATGATGTCAAGCCGGCAACTTTCACTGACATTTTCAGAAACAAGGATACACACAGAGGCAAAAGGGCAGATGAGTGCAACACACTTTTGCTGCATGCCCAAACCTTTCAATACCTCGTGCTGTAAAAGCTGGTGAATCATTCTCTGCACAGCATCATTCGTGCTTAAACCTCAATCTGCTTATGTTTAAACTTTAACTCAACACTTCACGGTGGAATATTGGTTGTGTCATACCTAGAAATCAAAATTCTTAGAAAGCTTTTAAAGTTAAAAATGGCAACCCTTTCCACTGTAAATATTGTCTTCCAGCAAAGTGTTATGATTTCAAAATTGCCACACATATGCCAAAAATGTATCTGTATGGAAGGCCAAGTGTTTTAACAGACATACAGGTCAAGAAATAAACTACCTCCTCATCATGGAAATTAAAACTTATCCTTCTCTTGATTGCAGAAGATGATAAAGCATGACAGTTTCTCCTAAGTTTTTATTATCTTAAACCAAGAAATACATCACTAAGAGTCAGCGTGGTCAGGCCCTTGGGTGAGAGGAAATTAACACCAACGAGGAACCTAATAATCATTGATCCATCTTTATTTAATTACACTTGGATGGCACAGACAGCGTGTTCTGCCAGCTGGACACTCCTGTGGCCAGATTAAGAGGCCTGTCAACTGTATCTGATCTGTAAAAAAATACTGCTGCCAGCCAACTTGGAAAGTCCCCAGAACATCCTCCTTAATGTCAGTTGTGTTTATAGCAGTATCTTTATTTTTAGGCCCCCCCTTCCGAAACATTGGGTTCGGGGAAGGGCATTAGCCGAGGAGTTATTTACTCCTGTCATGCTGAGCACGCAAACCTCTCCGATGGGAACTGCCACGCTGGCGGGAGCGGGGCAGGGACACGGCTCCCCACCTCCGTCACCTGGCCGGGTTGACCGTGCTCACCCCAAAAGAGATGACGAAGGAGCAGGACCGGGGCGGCCGAGGGCTGCGTTACACGTGCCCTGGCTAACGCTGGTGGCTACTGCCAGGCGGCGATGGGCCCAGCTCTGCCCCGCAGACCTGCCGTCGTGTCCCCCCACCGGCGGGTCTCGGAGGCCACGTGGCCACCCAGAAGGTACCGGGCACCGCTGATGCTTCTGTGACCAGCACGGCCCCGCACCGCCGAACTGCCGGGCTCCGGCCGCAGCCGGGGGCGCAGGTACCGCTCACGGCGGGCGAGCAGGGCGCAGAGCGG